TGCATGTGTGTGCGTGTGTGTGTGTGTGTGTTTAGTTCTGTGCAATCTTATTGCATATTGTTTCCTGTATCCACCACTGCAGTCAAGGTATAGAATAGCTATATCACACAAAACTCCTTCACATCGCCCTTTTATTTAATTTTATATATTTATTTATTTTATAGAGAGCATGTGAGCAGGGGAGAGGAACAAAGAGAGAAAGAAAGAATCCCAAGCAAGCTCCATACTCAGCATGGAGGGGCTCAGTCCCACAACCCTGGGATCATGACCTGAACCAAAATTGAGAGTCAGTCACTTAGCTGAGTCACTCAAGTGCCCTTCACATTGCCCTTTTAAGCCACAGTCATAACGCTTCCACCCTCACTCCCCTCCCGTTTATAACCCTTGATAATCACTGATATGTCCTCCATTTCTATAATTATGTTACTTCAAGGATTTTATATAAATGAACCATTTACATTTAAGCTAATTTTGATACATTAGTGCCTCAGTCTATTTTATGGTTTATTTTCTCACAGTTTCCTGTTTCTTACACCTCTGTTTCTTTTTAATTGTTTATAATGGATTACTTGAAAAAGTTTTAGATTCCTCACTTTGATTTAATTATATTATTCTTTTCTTTTGAAGTTTATTTATTTTGAGAGAGAGAGAGAGAGAGAGCGAGCGAGCATGAGCAGGGAAGGGTCAGAGACAGAGAGGGAGAGAGAGTATCCCAAGCAGGCTCTGTGCTGTAAAGCATAGAGCCTGATGCAGGACTCAGTCCAATGAGCCATGAGATCATGACCTTGCCAAAATCAAGAGTGAGAAGCTTAACTAACTAAGTCACCCAGGTGCCCCCTTGATTTACTTATAGTACTCTTGAATTTATTTCTTTGTATAGTTTTCTTAGAGGTTGGTCTGGGTGTTAAAACAATACATATGTGACGTAGCACAGTCTAGTACTGGTATCAACGTTTTACCACTTCACATGACATGTGGAAACCGTGCTTGCTTTTACATCCCCTTACCTTCTACACTTTTAAGCATCATTGTCTTTCATATTAGATGATGTTATAATTTTTTTCCTTCATCAAGCATGATTTATAAACCATAGAGGAGAAGGGTAGTCTATTGTATGTAATCATATTTCAGCTGTATCTGTCATTCTCTCCTGCTGCTCTGAGATTCCTTTTTTATTATTCATTCCTGTTTAAAAAATTTTCCTTTAACCATCCTTTAAGGAGAGGGCCACATTTCAAAATCCTTTCTTTTCATAGTCTTTTTTTCCATTTAATTCCTGAAAGATAGTTTTGCTGGAATAGAATTCATGCCTGATAGTTCTTGTTTTTCGGCAGTTGAAACATGCTGCTCCCTTTAGGCCTTTATAGTTTCAGATGAAAAATCCAGAGTTATTCTTATTGATGTGCCCCTATAAGTAATGTGTCATTTCTCTCTGGCTGCTTTCAAGATCGTTTTTTCTTCATCTTTAGTTTTTATAAGTTTTCTTATGATGTGTCGTCCTGTGGATTTTTTTAATTTATATGGATTTCTCTAAGGTTCTTGAATCTGTAGGCTCATGTCTTGTACAAAATTTAGCTATTTTCAGTTATTGTTTTCTTTAAATACTCTTTTAGTTCCATTCTCTTTTCCTCTTCTGAGATTCCAATGATGTGACTGTTGAATCAATTGTTACTGTCCCCCCAAAGTTTGAGTTTTTGTTAAATTTTTTTTGGTCTGTTTTCTCTTTTATTCAGATTTGTTTCATTAATCTGTCCTCAGATTAACAGATCCCGTCTTCTGTCAGCTCCACTTCAATATTGAGCCTATACATATAGTTTTTGTTTATTATTGCATTTATTCCCTCTAAAATTTCTTTTTTTTTTTTCTGAAATTTGTTTGTTTCAAAGAACATGTAATTGTTTTTTGGAATGTTTTTGTCATGGCTACTACTTAAAAATTATTGTCAGGTACTTTAAACATCTCAGTGTTACTATCACTTGATTGTCTTTTTTCATTAAAGTTGTGATTTTATTGGTCCTCAGTTTGACAAGTGATTATTTTTTATTGTATCCTGGACATTTTGCTATTATATTGGGAGTTTTGGGGTCCCATTTAAATCTTCTATTTTAGCAGGCAGTCCCTCTGTTTAGATTTATCTTTCAGGTCTTGTTCGATCTCCCTTTTCAGTCTTGATCTGGTGGGGAAAAGGAACTCTTTCTCTGTTTGCTTATTTTAAACAGTGTTTGTGCTTCCCTCTTGCTGTTGCTGCTAGGATCATCTAGGATGTCCATGGGACTTCTGTTCAGTTTTGAGGAGGAATAAGCCTACCTGAGTCACCTTTTCATTGCTAGGTTGGGGAATTGAGAAATGTTGGGCCTGTGTAGCCTTCTTCTGTTGGCAGGGGGGGCGGTGGAGTGAGGAGACACTAGTCCTCTAGTCCTGGAGTCCCTCACCAGTCTACCTTTACACTTTTCAGATTTCTCCTTTGGTTGTCTCGTGCCCTGCTTCCAGAGCCTGTTGTTGTACTTAGTGGGGTGTGGTACTTAGTTTTTCTAACTCTAAATTTCCACACCTCTAAAGAAGAGAAAGCAATAATAAACCTTTCAAAAGATTATTATTAAATGAAATAATGAAGTACTTCTTGAGATGTAGTATGTGTTCTGTTAGATAATGGTGCTCCAGTTGATTGCAAGTTTTTTTTTTTTTTATTGCATTATTTTTTGTAGGAACAAATTGAAACCCAAATGAGTCACAGTCTAGAGTTACTTAAATAAGTTATATATCATTAATAGAATAGAACTTAACTGTTGAAAAATAATAAATGGGTCATGGAAGAATGTCTCAGTTGTTTTAAGTGAGAAAAATAGTTGTAAAATAACATGATTTTTGGTACAAGTATTTATAGGTATTTACACACATATTTGTTTTTTTTTAATTTTTTAAAAATGTTTTATTTATTTCTAGGAGAGAGAGAGAGAGAGACAGCATGAGCAGGGGAGGGTCAGAGAGAGAGGGAGTGACAGACTCTGAAACAGGCTCTAGGCTCTGAGCTGGCAGTCAGCACAGAGCCCGACGCGGGGCTGGAACCCACGAGCTGCGAGATCATGACCTAAGCGAAAGTCGGACGCTTAACCGACTAAGCCACCCGGGCGCCCCCACATATTTGTAATTTATATGTGTTTTGTATGTGTGTAATAAAATATTTAGAATTATAGTCTGAAAATAGTCTGAGCATAACAAATTGTGAAAAATATCTTTAGATAGTGGGCTGGGAGAGAAAGGTAACATTCACTTTTACATTAAAGACCTCTATTCTTACATTATTTTTGGTAAGAAAATGTTTATCTTTATTAAAAAGAGAATGAATAAAAGTATGAAAATCTTCAGTTGGATTATATGAGTAGAACTTTAATAAGTGATTATAGAATATTAATCAAATTATTTTTGATAAGTTATTATTAATGTCGGTTTTTTGGAAACTACCTCCAAAATGTAATACTCATTAGTTACAAATATATTCTAAAACTTCTTCACGTATGTTTAGATTTATCAGTTAAAATGGGCTTAGTGACTTCTTTTTGATATTTCTGTATTTTATGACCATTGAGGTATCACTTTCTTCATTACCTTAGAATTATGTAAAAGTGAATAATTTTTAAAATCATCTTTAATTTATATTACTTGATTTGAGTATTTTCAGTTGAGCTGTCTACAATACCAAAGTTAAAATTTTTTTAAATGTTTGTTTATTTTTGAGAGAGAGAGAGAGAGAGAGAGACAGAATATGAGCAGGGAAGGGGCAGAGAGAGGGAGTCACAGAATCTGAAGCAGGCTCCAGGCTCTGAGCTGTCAGCACAGAGTCTGAGTGGGGCTGGAACATGCGAACCATGAGGTCATGACCTGAGCCTAAGTTGAATGCTTAACCAACTGAGCCACCCAGGCACCGCTATAAAGTTTAGATGGCCAGTTAGAGGGAAGATAGCTGTGTGGTCTGAGTGGATACCTAAAGACCAATGACAGATTTCTATCTAGTTGCTCTTTATAATCTAAAATTATCTAAGGCCAAGGATCTGGGTCTTGTTTATTTGCATTTTCTTAAAAGTGTGTCTTGCATATATGATTGATGCTTGTATTAGTGAATTTGCAGTTAGAAATGAGTCCCTTTTAGATATAGCAAGCAGAATGGGATTTAATATGGGGAGTTAATTACAAGACTATTAGAAACACCAAAATGAGGGGATCACCTAGAAAATCTAGAAGCTGCTGTACTGACCACATTCGTCATGGAGCCACTCTAGGTGCCCCTGCTGCCCCTGGGCAGCCACTGCCCCTGCTGCTATTGCTTCAAAGTCACCACTGCTGTTTTCCACTGTAGTCGTCTGCCTGTTTCTGCTGTGAGAGAGGAAGGCAGAATGTCTTTCGTACTTTTTCGTTGTTATCTCTTACCAGTACTCCCCTTGGTGGAACCTATCAGTTAATACAGCTATCAGGGAAGTCTTAGAAATTTATTGTTTTAGGTTTTCATCAGCAATGCAGAAGACTCTGTAGAAGGGAGAGTGGGGCTCATAACCAAGTGATGATGGACCAGCTAAAAAATGCTTAAGGGTGGGGATCATATCTTTTTAAATCTTTGTTATATCAATGACTAATTCAGAATTTGTCACATAGTAGGCTCTCATAAACTATTTGTTAGTCTTTTCTCAGCATTATTTACAAATACAGAAATATATGTGAAAATAAAGTTTTCCTTTTTCTGTTGCACATCTAAAAAGTTTGGCATTTTCAGTAATTCAGGGTTTAATCTACAGAAAGACCAGTCTTACACAACTTTAGTCTCTAGAGCTTAACATAGTAACTAGCATATGTTTAATAATTGTTTTTGGATTAAATGAATATTAGGTTATATTCAATTTACTCATAAAAATGTGGTGTTAGAATTTACTTATTGATAATTTGGTAATATAGTCATTATATTTTTAAATACTCCTGGAAGTTCATGATTTATCTTCTTTCTCTTACAGCATCAAACACATGGCTTGTCCCAGAAACTAAAGGAGCTATTGTTCAAGGTGGATATGGCCATACCAGTGTGTATGATGAAATAACAAAGTCCATTTATGTTCATGGAGGCTATAAAGCATTACCAGGCAATAAATATGGATTGGTAGATGATCTTTATAAGTATGAAGTTAACACTAAGACTTGGTGAGTAGATTGGGTAAAAGTATGATGAGAAACTTCACTGTTATATTTTACATTTGTATAGTAGTGGCATTTATTAAATATTTTTAGGGAAACATTCGTGTTCTTTTTCCCTGTTTAATTTCAACTAATGAAATTCTCTTGTACTGCAATGGCATGAAATAACACATTTTCTGTTTAGTCATTATCACTTTAAGTGATTGACTTTAAGATGTTTTCTGATTACATAGATAACTGATTCTGTACGCATTACTCATAAGTAATGATATGTTCAATGCAGATGAGCAAGTTTGCTTACCAATGTACTTTGAGCTTTGATAATCTGCCCTAAAGTTTTTTCCTTCTTTGCATTCATATTGTAATGTCATTTGTAAATTTTAAAAGCATTTCTTCAGTTTCATCATCTAATTTCCTGTGAAATGCAAAGCTTGTGCATTTAGGTAGGTGGTGGTTGTTGTTATAAACAATGTTAGATTGCACATCTTGTACTGGTTTTATCATACAGGTATGCAGGAGTTTCTGTAGGGCTTATATATACTTAAAGGTGAAATTGTTGTGTCTGAGGGTTTTTATATCAACTTTGCCAAATGTTGCCTAATTGCACTCACAAGTCACTGTGTTAATGTATACGTCCAGCAGCCAGGTGTGAATGTAACTGTTTCTTCATATTACCACTAACATTTAGTAATTGTGAGATGATTTTCCTTTTATACATGCAATGGATGTGAGTGCTTCATTGATACTTCTTGTGTATACCTAGATTACTGTCGTGACTGAGCATCTTTTTATGTGTTCATTTGCCACTTCTGTTTCTTATTTAGTGTATTGTCTAATGTTCTCTTTTGTTGGGAATACTGTTCGTTAATTTTTCAGTTATTATTTTTTCTGTGTATATGAGTTTTAAAATAGAATTTTTTGGGCATAGTTGGTTGAGCATCTGACTTCAGCTCAGGTCATGATCTCCTGATTCATGAGTCTGGGTCCCGCATCGGGCTCTTTGCTGACAGCTGGGAGCCTGGTGCCTGCTTTGGGTTCTGTGTCTCCCTCTCTGTCTGCCCCCAACCCCATTTCATACTCTGTCTCTCTCTCTCTCAATGATAAATAAACATGAAAAAAAATGTAAGTTTTAGTGTACTCAAATATTTACCTTTATAAAACCTGGAAATGACTCCACTGTTTTTAGATATTACACATTCATTTTAACTTTCATTATGAAATTACATATGTGTTTGAATGAAATATAATTTTTCACCAAATTTTGATTTGTTTTCTACTCCCTTCACTTTCAAAAATATATTCTAATTTTTTTCTTTTGAAAAAGAAAGAAGGAATTAAAAAAAGGTTAGACTTTTCCTTTGGATTATTTTATTTATTTTTATTATTTTTTGTAGAATTGATACATTGTTATTCTTTATATTTTTATAAATAATAAAACCAATAAATCAGTTTTTTCTTATATAATTTATGCATTGCTTTTTACTTCCTATTTTAACATTTCTAACTTTACTCTTGGCATTTTTGCTCTGATAGCAAGACGAATTGTGATTTAGTGAGTAAGGCATTATCAATCTGCTTAACAGATTTTTGCATATATTATAACTACTGTATCAACCAAAAAGGAAATGATGCATCATAGTTCACAGTAATAATAATGGCTATAGCAATGTTCTGGGAAGGATATTAGTAGATTAAATAGAAAAGAGAGCCATGGGTATTATTTGAATGAAGTCAAATGAGTGTTACTTGTTGCTTATGACTTGAATGGAATTTGCTCATATTTTTACATGTTTCCCTTCCTGAAAATTTCCCACAGTATGGAAGAATGTAATTAGCAATCTTAGCAATTTTAGTATATGCACAAATAACATTGAGTACTTTTCATTTAAAAGAATTATTAAAATAATTTGTAAATATTTTCAGCACCTTATTAGAAATATAGATACATACCATGAGAGACTCTTGAATGCTGAGAATAAACTGAGGGCTGATGGGGGTGGGGGAAAGGGAAAAGGGGTGATGGGCATGGGGGAGGACACTTGTTGGGATGAGTACTGGGTGTTATATGGAAACCAACTTTACAATAAACTATTTAAAAAATAAAAGAAATATAGATACAGACAGCACTTTAATATTGTACTGGGTTCTTTGTTTTTGAAAAATATCAGTGAGCACTAAAATATTTTTCTATTATTCTTAATGTTTTTAGCATTCTTAAAGTTTTGATGCTTGTTAAATTTTAAAATTTGCCCTCATATATTGATTAAAGTATATATATATATATATATATAGTTAAATTATATCATTGACAAATACGCGTGATACATACTTTAATATATATGTGAGAGCAAATATATGCATTGTACAGATTGATTTTAGGTTTTTATCACTTCAGAACTGGTTCCACCCTTGAGGAAGATAATATTGTATATAGCATCAAATTATTTCTTTAAAAAACATGAAGTATCTGACAAAATTAAATGATAAAGCTTAGAAAAAGACAAGATATGAAATAGCCATTAGAAGCATAGCTATAGGATAACGGTATTTTCAGACAGAAACTTTAAAATAGAAGGTAGAATGGGGCGCCTGGGTGGCTTAGTCGGTTAAGCGTCTGACTTTCGCTTAGGTCATGATCTCGCGGTTCGTGGNAGCATTTGCTCACTTTGTGTCTCTGTGTCACATTTTGGTAATTCTCACAATAGTTCAAACTTTTTCATTATTATTACTGTTATTTTTGTTATGCTGATGTGCAATCAGTGGTCTTTGATGTTACATTTATAATTGTTTTGGCGCATCATGAACTGTGTCCATATAAGACGGTGAACTTAAGGGGCGCCTGGGTGGCTTAGTCGGTTAAGCGTCCGACTTTCGCTTGGGTCATGACCTCGCGGTTCGTGAATTTGAGCCCCGCGTCGGGCTCTGTGCTGACTGCCAGCTCAGAGCCTGGAGCCTGTTTCAATCTGTGACTCCCTCTCTCTCTGACCCTCCCCTGCTCACGCTGTCTCTTTCTCTCTCTCTCTCCTAGAAATAAATAAAAAACATTTAAAAAAATTAAAAAAAAATAAAATAAAATAGAAGGTAGAAAATATTAAGAGACAAGTAGAAACTTGACTAAAGAACCAGATGGAATTTATGGAAATGAATGAAGAATTCCTTAGATAGGTTTAACAACAGGTTAGATACAGCTGAGGAGGGAATTAATGACATGGAAATAGGTTAGAAGGAAATACCCATACTGAAATAAAGAAAGGGAAGAATGAAAAATAAAATAGGGAAGGAAATGTAAGGGACCTGTAACAGTGACCTAACATATATGTAATTGGAGTCAAGGGGGAAAAATAGAGAAAATAATGTAGAGCACTATTTGCAGTCTCATTAAGACTGAGAATTTTCAAAAGTGATAAAGAACATCAAGCAACAAATAGAAAAAATTCCATGATGTCCAAGGGGAATAGCTACAAAGGAATTTATACTTAGAAACATCATGGTGAAACAAATGAAAATCCAAACATGAAGAAAAAATTTAAAAGCAGTCAAAGGGAAAAAAAGTCATATTCTCTTTAAAGGAACAACATTAGGAGTGACAACTGATTTCTTAACTGAAAAAATGAAGTCCAGAAGACATAGTGTCTTCAAATTGCTGAAAGAAAATAATCATCAGCCTAAAATTTTGCACCCAGTGAAATATCCTTGAAAATTGAGAGCAAAATAAGGATAGTTCCAGAAAAGCAAAAATAAAAAGAATTTAATAATATTCTTCTGCAATAAAGGAAATAATAAAGGAAATGATAATGAAGTAGAAAAATGATCCCAGGTACTGGAAGGAATAGAGAAATTAAGAGTAAATTAAACTATAATCAAAATAGAGTATTAAATGTATATAAAATTTAAAAGCATGATGGTAATAGCACGTAAGTCAGGAAAAAGGTAAATGGTGTTCCAAATACTGAGGTTATTGTGATAAGTGGAGATTGATAAAAGAACTAATTTATAGTAGATAATAACTAAAGATTTATTTGTAATCATTAGGTAACAAAAAGAAATGTAAAACTGCATATCTAACAAGCTAATAGAAGGGAAAATGAGAATACTAGTTAATGGATTTGGGAGAAGACAAAAAGAATGGCAAAAGACAAAGTTAGGAAGTAAGAGGATGATATATTTAACTCTATATATGTCAGTAATGACACTAATGTAAGGAAATACGTATTCCAAATTATACTAAATGTGAGAGACTAAATACTTTAGTCAAAAGGTAAGGATTTTTGGATTTGGTATAAAACAAAACCTAGCCCATGCTGCATACAAAGATACAAAATATAAACATATTTAGAAAAATTGAAAGTAAAAGAATGGAAAAAAGATACACAATTGGTGAACAAAAGAAAGTTGGTGTAGCTTTACTAATATCAGACAGGTAAGAATTTAAGTCAGGCATCTACCTAAGAGACATAAGAATGAATTTATATGTACCTTATAATACTGTGTTAAATAAAGTAATATTTGACAGAATAAAAGGGACAAGTCATACTGGGATATTTTTAATGCATTTGTCTTGGTAAGTCAAATAGCATAAGTGATAGCATGAGACAAAAAATAAAAATACCGAAACAGTAAAGACATATATGATTTCAACAGCCTAATTAATAAATTTGTGTTCTTTGATATTTGAGAACATATTATCTTGTGACTGCAGAATATACAGTGTTTTCAAGTACATATGAAACATTTTCCAAAATATACCATATGGTGGGTTTTTATGTTAGTCTCAACAAATTTAAGAAGATTCAAATCATACAGTGTAATTGAAATGAACACAAAAGTTACTAGGAAACCCCTAATAAATTTCTTAAAAATAATTGGTCTAAGAAATTATACTAAAAATTGGAAAATATTTTGTACTGAATGAAGACAGATCAAAATGTGTATGGTGTCACCAAGAGGGACATTTATAACTTTAAATGCATTTATTAGAAAAGATTTTTTAAAAGCCTGAAAACCAG